TATAAGGGAAATTAAGAGAAAACATCATATGGTAATTTAGATACAATCCCAACGTCTCTACCTCTCACCACCACAATCCTTACTATACCAATAGCTTCTTCACCTTCAGCACCCAATCAAAGCAAATCGATTAAAGAAAAAAAACAAAACAAAAAAAAAAGACAGAAGCTGTAGCCCAAAATACTTGTATACGGCGGTCAAGTACCACTCGATTTGTCTCGAAAAGTTTCATGCTCACCGCCGCCATTTCCTGTCTGAAAACGAAGATCAAAGATAACAAAGATAAAAATAAAGCACGCACGGCATTAAAAATATTATACAAGAGTAACATGGCACATGACAGAAATTTAAGCTGCTGGTCAGAATATACCACAATTTTCAGCAATTGGTAATTGACAGCAGATCTTACGTACCAAACACATGATTAAAGTTTAAGAACTGTGCAACGAGTAATTTCAAGTCACTATCCCAGCTGTTGAAGTTCCTGATAATTAACACCTTTAGGATAGTTTTCGAGCACGTAAAAATAAACGAGTAAAGTGACCATAATCTTCACTTTAAGTTCCATAACGCAATCTTTGTGAGTTTCGAGCTATAATCATCCAAATGGTCATACCAATGTCAGCATGGGAACACTTTTTTAACATGACAGCCACTGGTCACATCACATGACAAAAACTATAGGATAACATGGGAGAAAAAATATCACATAATACCTTGAGGAGAATGCATTGTTGCAGTTCCCTTTGTGTTCTGCTGTGCCTGAGACAGAGACCGCTGAATACGAGGTGATCCTTGCCTCTCATTCGCACCTGGTAAAGAATGCCTCTTTTTTATGTAAATATCCTTATCATGAACATCCGGGCTTGATCTTGGGGACCCATTAGCAATAGCCTTAGCCTTCGCGGACTCAGTCACCTGCATGTAACTTGGGAGAGAGTTACTGCTGCTGCTATCTCTCGGCTCCTGCTCCTTGTGGTCAGGCTTACTGCCCGAGCCGAACGAGTTTCGCCTCTTTCCAGCTGCTTTGGGCTCCTGTAGCTGCTCCAAGCCAGTTCTCGATACAGATTCTTTGCTGCGGTTCTTATCAGAAGATGAGGACCTGTTCTTACGACTGGAAGAATCACTTTTCTCACCCTTGCGCTTCTTGGGTTTGACAGACACCTGGGATTCTGGGACAGTTAAATGGCTTCTTGGAGAAGCATCAGACTCGACCTCCAGCTGTACGTCAGCCAGCTTAGCTTCTTGCATTTTCTCTACACTCGGGGAGTCTTCAGCATTTATGGAATCAAGGGACTCGACAGCAGCTGAGTCAACACTTACGTAAATTTTTGAAACATTTGTGTCGGTAAATGAGTTAGTTTCAGGTGCGGTTGGCGTTTTCCCATCTGCTTCAATTTCAGTATTCTTGTCAGTCTTGAAATGCTTGGTGTCGTCCGAAGCTTTCATTTCCTGTTCGATCTCGTTGGCCCCAGCCTCCGACCTGTCGGGTGAATCAAGTGTAGAAGAAATAGATAGTTCGGTCCCACATTCAGAGCCGATAGGGAGCGCTGATGTGGCAGCAGATACAGCGGCATTGTCGGGTACCTTATTGCCCGTGGATTTGGGCGTTTGATCGGTTGAGAGGGAAAACCTGTCCTTGTCAAGACCAGTTTCGTCAAGATCTTGGGTAGATGAAGGGGCTAATTTTGCGGAAGTCAGTGCTTCGAACTTTGAGTGAGCTGCGACAAAGGCTGGCTTGCTTGCCTTCCTCGACAGCTTTTTCGCCTCGGCTTCTATTTGCTCTAACGTATTTTCGTCCTTTTGGGGAAGAGATTTCACCTCGACCACCTCAATGAAATCTTTCTCTTTCATCTCGATGAGAGCAGATTCTGTTCCATCAGTTGTCGAGTTTAGTTGATCAACTTCGTGCAGATTAGAGAGGCCGGATGCAGGCGACATTGATCTGGCAGAGTGGAGATTCGTCAAGTCACGACTGATGAGATGAGTCTCAGAGGATACAGCCGATGCACCCAAAGTAGAATTCAGGTCTTTTAACTCAGCAGAACAGTCACTTGCAGTTACAATGTCTACTTGGCCATCAGGAAGTTCAAGATTCTCCACGGTTGATTCAGATTCAGGTGATCCTGTGCTGCTCACCGATGAGGCAGACATCCATCTTTCGAGCCATTTCCAGGCAGAGTCAGATTTTGAGGGGTCACACTTGATGTTGATGGGTTTGTTCCTCGGTGTTGACTCCATAAGCTGAAATTAAAATTTTGGGCACATAAGTCAAGGCCCGAATACGTGTCACTGTTTCTAATCGGAAAACAGAAATGCCAGCTGTAATCTAGTTACCTGACGAGCAAAAGCATTAGAGAGTAGCTTCTCAATGGAAACATAAGTGTATCTGGTGTTTGGATGGTCTTCTTTCTTCCCCTGAAAATAAGGAGATGAACTGACATCACAATCACAAAGTATGTAAAAATAATTTCAAAGAATGATAAACGTCCACACTATTTTGTACATCTCTGCTCATGAATAGCTGAGAGGAAAAAGTTTCTCGAGTCAACATTTTTAAAACGACAAGCAGGGGGGAATAACAAGTTAATCGATTTTAATTATGCTAAATATTGTTACCAAGATGGTTGGGTCATTATTGTCAAGCCGACCAGCATGTCGTGCTCTAACAAGAGCTTGCATCTTGATGATGGCTTGAACACACCGGAGAGTTCCAACAGCATGCCTCCGGACTATATGCCCTCTCACAGCAGCTTGCAGCTTAATTATGTTCTTCTGCTTCAGTAGCACCTGCTGAGACTGGTATAAGAGAAAAACAATAATGACACTTAAACCATGCATGATTATTTAACTTAAGGGATAAAAACTGTAAATGGTAACAGAGCATACCAGCAGCCTCCTGATGGCAGCCTGGATTATAATAATACTTGGCTCATCAAAAGTTGTATCTTTTTTGCAGTCATCTTCAACTTCGGATTGGGTTTCCGATAACTTTGAGTCCAGTTGAGTGGGCAACTCAGCTTTTTCTTCAGTCAAGTGAATAACCGAGGGTTTCTCTGCTGCAGTGAAGTCTGCCTGCTCAGAAAACTTGACAGCTGGAGAGTCTGGGTTCTCCTTGTTCACAGATGAAGGTGCTTCTGAACCAACAGTGTTGCTCAAGACCCGATGCCTGGCAGATCTTTTACGGAAGCTCCATCTACGCCGATCACTTGAACCCTTGTTCTGGAAGTAAGTTAAAATGTGTATAAACTGTTAAATGCATGTGATCACAACAGCAAGGATATCCAACATCAAGAAATATTTGGTTCTTGAATGATGCAGAAGATCTTACTGCATTTTTAATTGGATTTCTGACGTAAAACAGCATGGACATTTATCATCAGCCTTCTACTATGGGTGATATAAATTAAACAAAAAAAGACCATACGAGCAAACCATGCACTCGCACTGCCATGTCAATAACATGTTTATGGTCAACATGCAGATGAATTTTCTTTATAAAGTACGATACTAAATGTATCATGATTGAAAATGAACTTGGATGCATCTGCTACTGCCTCTTATTTATCTCACAAACTAAAACAGGTCTACGACTATGAAGAAAGTGAATAGCACCATGATCAGCATCCATTAAGCCAGTCCAGTGATTCTTTCTACTGCTCTTGTTCATAAATAGACTGGTTCTAGGATTAGAAATGATTTTTAAATGGAAAAAGTCAAATGCAGATATATAATTTACACTTCACGACTTTACGTAGTAAAGCTTTATAGTCGTTGGCAAAAGACGGTTGGCCCAGTGCACGCTCACAGCAAAAGAAAACAAGAAAATAAGTACATAGTAATGAGTTTTCATTAATCATCAGGCTCTTACCATCTGGTATAAATGTCAAGTACCATGATTCAATCAGTTTCATAGGCATCACTAGTGTGAGACTTGAACAAAAACTGTTTGATTTTTATATTTTATTTAATTGCATAACCATGATTTACAAGCAACTTGTATGCCAACAGACAATTTTCAAAATCAGATAATTGCCCAATCTCGTACTGCTATAAAGTTGATTTACAGTTATCACAGGATTTTATCATGGTTACATAAACCAGACCAAACCGGTCGGTTGGACCAGTGTTATAAAANAATAGTAGGTAATCTTTGCAGATAAACATTAGAAACAAGAAAAGGTATTTAGATCTTATTGAACCCATCCTAAAGGGGAAACCCTCACACCATTAAATGCATGAGTTGAGCCAAAAATAAACGCTTTGATGCAACCAAAGATAATTTAAAAAAATATAAATCGATCATGGATGATATTCCAAATCCTGCCAAGTGTCCCGACTAACGAAAATACTCAATTTTACTTCTGCCTCAACCCCACACAAGGAGACACACATGTAAAGACAAAAGGTTCGTTAAAAGTAAATGGAGTACGTCAAGTTGACTATACACAAGAAACAGCCCTGATAGATTCAGAAGGGAACACAACATAACATGATGAATTCCCCAATCAAAGGAAACTTCAGGTGATTTGAAAAGGCAACAAATAACAAACATCCGACTATCTGAATATGCTTTGCCGAAGCCGAAAAATTAGCGAAACAAATCCATTTGGATTAGCTTGCCAAGATTGGCATATTTACAATCCACTGAAATCACATCAAAACGAGGCAACAGCTGAGCAGCCACTACCTTCATTCCAACAAAAATCCTATACCGCATTACCTGCATGTTGGCTATATATTGGGGCACAACAGGACATGACAATTACGGAAATAGCGGATACGACTTCCATTCCAACTCACCATGGTGGACGAATAATTAAGAAAACCGAAAAAGGTCAAGCTTTCCATGTAATCATTTACACTTCTAAACTCAAACCCAATCGACTATTACACATTCACTCGCTGATCAAGCTAATCACCAATTTCACCATCGGTCAACACCAAAATAGCGAATTACAAGAAACCTCCACCTTAATCTGCCAATATGCATGACAAATACAAACAATGGAACTTGAAATCCAAGAGCTTAACAGCAAAGGCACACATTTGAACTGGAAAAACGAATACATCCAGTCCAGTAGCCTAGTACGTTCAACACTGAACCCATTATATCCCCTTACAACTGAATCTTCCATAGATTTAAACAACAAAAAGATCATTNAATAAATAAAAAATGAAATTCATAACCGAAACAAAATGGCTAGAAAAGATATACCTCAGGAGCTTGGAGATCCTCATAGTCCTGAGATTCGCCGGCACAGGTGATGATCTTGAAGCATGATGCACTTGATTTCCCCATGATTAAGTCTCTCTCTCTCTCTCTGTGTGTGTGTCCCTGAGCCTAGGATACCAACCTAGAGCAACAAGCAGCATATGATGGTGGTGTTACTTTTTTTTTTTTTTTTTATGATTTGAACTTTGAAGTGTCGTCTTTGGAAATTGAACCAGATAAAAGGGGCAATTTAGGTAACTACGGAACTCCCCATCCTTCATTAAACCTAGTACATTTTGGTTCTGGATTCCGGTTACATGACGCCATCCTACATTTCCTTAAACAAATTATCTTTTTTTCTTAGACTTCATATTTGTATTTTTTTATTAATAAAAGCATATTTATATTATTTTTAAAATAGAATTTACTATATAAAAATATGTATATTTATAAAATTACATGGCTATTTAAGAGTGAATTTTTGAAATTTAGATAATAATTGATAAATTAATTGATAAGTTAATTTTAAAATCAACATGAACAGGCCTGTTGTTGACGGAAAAATTAATTGTTGTGACTCAAAACTCAATTGATAAAAGGTGAGAAAATATTTGAGATAACTAGACACTTTTGAGGGGATGATTGCTAAGGAGTTAAAATGATAAAAATTAATTTTAATTAGATCAATTTTTTTTTTCTTTTTTGTCTCACTTTAATTCAAAATCAAATTCAACCATATCATCCTCAATATTAATAATATAATTAAAAAATTATAATTATTTCTCTTTTACATCAGATCAACTTTAATTCAATAATCACCCACTCACAATTTTTTTTCCTATTCATCAACTCACATATTTTTTATTATCTTTACCTTCATCATATCTCTCTTACTTTTATATATTAATCATTATATTTTAAATATTATTTAATTACAGTTTATCTCATACTACCCAATAAAATTTATTGAAAATAACACATTTTAACTCGGATCCAACTTTGATTGATTTTAAATAGCTATGACTGTTTATCACACCCCTAAAATGTTTCATCCGTGCATGGGTTGGTATGATAAATTTATAGCTTATTAGTTAGTTTATAGAATTTTTAAACTTAAATAAGTTTTTTTGGTAGATATTTTTGTAAAAAAATAATAGTTAGAATTATTTCATAACTATTTTTTAGGTAGCTTTTAAAAAAAGTCTATCTAATATTTTTTTTAACTGACTTATCATTTGATTTCATCAAAAACTTTATTAAATTAATAGTAATCACAATATTCACTAATAAATTATACAACTGAACTTTTAGGTAGATTTACCAAATATATTATATTTTTTTTAAAAAATTATAAGCTACCTAAATAAATTATAAGAGTGCTTATGGTATTTAATAAAATCACTACATCTATTACATATCCCTTATATATAATTTCAAAACGTACTGAGTCTAAGTGCCAACTTCGCACGATTTGTAAAGACAAAAAATTACGCTTTTTAATATGAATTACTAATTATTTTATATAAAGCTTAAGTTTGGATTACCACATATGCACATATTTAATATATTTAAATTATTTCATTTAAATCAAATTATAATCTTCTTTCTATTATGTGCATATTATCTCACTTTCTAAATTTAGTTTTGTCATATTATTCCATTAGGTGTTCTAAATAAGAATGTTATAAATAAAACTAATAAAGTATATAAATTATTGTTTAGAATTTAAAATATTATTATTAATTCACTTAGTTCTTTGTTATACATTGTTATATATTGTTCCTTACTTATTTTATCCAACTTCAACAAAACATATAAACATTTTTTCTTCTTTCATTTTTTGTTGTACATTTAACTATTTTATCAAACACCCGTATAGTGCACGGACTGCACGGGTATCATATTAGTTTATTTTAATACATAATAAGCTAGCTAAACAAACAATAAGGCAACTTATATGTGGTGTTTACTAAATACATTTTAACTATTAGTTTTATTATTATTATTATTTATATTATTATATATTATTATTATTAATATTATCTATATATATATAATTACTAGCTAATCCCATTTAATAAAATATTTAATAAAAATATTTTTACTTTTCCTCCAAAAGGAGTTACATTTTTTTTAATTAATTACTCACTAATCCCACATTTAAGAAGGTTTCTTTTAGTTAAACCTAATTAGTTAATGGCTAAATTAAAAAGATTTCTTTTAGTTAATCCCACATTTATGTTTCTTACTAGTTTTTAACCCGTGCATTTGCACGGAAAACAATATAATAGAACAAAAAATAATAAAAATATATAGACAATAGTAAAAATCATAATATAAGCACTGGAAAAATGTTCTAAGGAGTAGTAATAACTAAATATTGTTAAACAATTCTTTATATGCAACGTTTATGGTTTTTCTATCAACAGAATTTCCATCACTACAAATCACTATCTTCAAATTAAGACATATAATGGTTTTATTTGTTTAAATAATTATTGTATTTTGTACTATAGATCATATAGGAAATTTTAAAAAAAAAAAATACTAAAAAAATACCAGCAAAATATTACAAAATAAGTAATTGTATTTGGTTGATAAATAATGATATGTGCCAAATATTTAAGACATTTGAACAAAATGGCAATTTTTGGACCATAAAGAAATATATTAATTGAATGATAAAAAAGCCCAAATTAGAAGTCCACTTAATTTTTTAGGGTAGCAAAAATCAAATATAAAACAGGTCAATGATAACATGACTATAAATAGAGATAAACTCCTTGAGAGTGATGTTAGCCATTTTTTTTTTGTTTGATGTCGGCGCTTCTCTCGTTATTCACTCTGTCTGAAACCCTAAGTCTTAACCAGATCTTACGACAAACTCGGTGAGATTCAATACAAAACAACTGTTTTACCGGAGATTTTCTCCCGGTAAAGGCTTAAAAAATTAAAAAAAAAAAAAAGACATCCAAGAAATGTTGTTTTTGTGCCAACAGTAGTGATCGAAAAATAAAATATTCGTCTCTTAATCTGTGTTGCTAAATCTTAACAGGTCGGTCAAAATCGGGCGACAATATTACAAATCTATGATAAACTGAAATATTTTTTGTTAAACGTAGTTTTTATTTTTTATTATTTTCAATGATCTGTGTCGTTTTTTGAAATTGTTTGTGAATAAGCTTCAAGATATATCATATTTTATACATAATTCGAAATTATTTAGATGTTTTTCAAAATTGTTTTTCGAAGAGAACATGACAATTTTGTTCAGGGTTTGAAAAAATATGTAAGTTTCTAACAGATCTGTTCAGCTCTACTAACAAATATATAGGTAAGTTTATAACATATCTGTTCATATCTGTTTATAACATACATATGTAACTTTTATGTATTTTGTTCAGATTTTGAAAACTAAATAGTTCAATTCTTTGTCGTCTTTCTCATCATATCAGTAAGTGAAGCTTTGCTAACACTTGTTCAAAATCGCTTTTCGAAGTTGTTCAAAGTCTTTTGCCGAAGATTTTCAAAATTTTTAGTATTTTGTTCAAAATTTAGAAATATTAGGTAAGTTTATAACAAATCTGTTTAGATATATTTATCGCATATTAGGAATTTCTTGTTTAATGCTTAAAAGAATCTGTAGGAATTATTATTTTTAAAACTTTTACGCAAAAAAATCGATTTTAATATAAAGGCAGATGTCTTGGTAAAAGTTGAATGTGTTGATAATGATAGGGAAATCAAATTATTTTTCTTTCTATATTGTATAGTGCTCAATAATGTTCCACATAATTTGTTGTGTTTTTAATTTTGATTTTTTCATATAGATTTGAGTTTTTTTGTTGATTATTAGTTATGCTTGATATTTCTATATTATGCAACAATCTGTCATTACATACAATGCCTTGTCAATCTCATTCTTTGACTTTGCCGATTTCCGTTTAATATGACTTTTCTGTTGCTGAAAGTATGTTTTTAGTGCATTAAAATATTGATGTTTTGGATATGTTTTGATGCTATAATCATGCAGAAATTTGTCCCGCCACTTTTTTTCTTAAAGAGGAATTGTTTAATGAAAATTAATCATATTTATATTTATAATTGTGAAATAATATTTTTTTTCACGGCCAACAATTATTTTTTTTAATGAAAAATATGAGACAATTTATTCAACACACTTTTTAATTTATAAAAAAAGAATGTTGATTGCGATAATCAAATATGCAGAAATCATGCATTTTATTGAATAGTAGTAATATAAAATATTTTATTATTACTACCAAATAGAAAGTCAAATATAGTTAATTTTGCACTATTAATTATGATCATATGGATTTTTTTATACATATGTTTTTTCAATGAACTTTTTAAATGATAATATTGACAATATAGACTTTGCTATAATAATTATATAGACTGTGTTACAATAATAATTTATTTATTTAATTCATTAATTTTTTTTTTAATTCATCTTATTGTGCATATAGTCTAAGTTTATAAATTATATGTCATTTAAATGTATCTATACTACTAATTTATAAGATTTCACTATTTGGGGAGCTAAATTTTTAATTTTAATTATGAAACTAATCTTTCTTATCATTTTGTAGTTATATGTTTGATTGAGTATGGTTGGAAATTAAATTACAAAAAAAATAATTTCATTTTTTATATTGTAATGTAACATGATATGTATTACAATGTTTGTAATTAATACATTTATTAATATTTCTTATAACTTTAATTGTTTAATAATGAAATAAAAAATAATAATATATAGTTTCTGCACAACAATAATGACTGACACGTTTATATATATAAATGAGAATAAGAAACATAAATGTGGGATTAACTAAAAGAAACTTTTTTAATTTAGTCATTAAGTAATTAAGTTTAACTAAAAGAAACCTTCTTAAATGTGAGATTAATGAGTAATTAATTAAAAAAATGTAACTTCTTTTGGAGGAAAAATGAAAATGTTTTTATTAAATGTTTTATTAAATAGGGTTAGCTAGCAATTATATATATATATAGATTCTCATTTATATATATAAACGTGACAGTCATTATTGTTGTGCAGAAACTATATATTATTATTTTTTATTCCATTATGAATTGAATAAGCAATTAAAGTTATAAAAAATATTAATAAATGTATTAAATACAAACATTATAATACAGATCATGTTACATCACAATATAAAAAATGAAATTATTTTTTTTGTAATTTAATTTCCAGCCATACTCCATCAAACATATTTGATATAGCTGCAA